TGCAACACTTTAACAGCATCATCTTTTAGGATTTGAAGTAGCTCAACTGGAAATCCATCACCTCCACTACAGTCCATGGTGTCGCAAAAGTCGGGCATGACTGAATGACTTAGCATGCATGCATCATGATATCCTTCCTTGAAGGGAAGGCAGCTTCTTAAATATATTAAGGAAAACCCTGCTTCGACACAGCATATTCTTTGGTGTCACTCTTAGAGACAATGAAGCATGAGTCTGCCTGCTGTGGAGTGGCATTATATATATATGTGTATATATATATATAGTTCTTATATATAACTATAGGCCCAGGCTATGCAACCATCACAAGACTGTTGACATCAGGTAAAGAAAATTTCACACTACTAATTGCCCATTCCCCTTGGTTCCCATAACACTTTGTTTCACCACTATTTAGAACTTCTCATGGTTGTATGCTGGTAATTGGGTAAGGTATCTTCATCCCCTAAAGAGACTGTGAAATTCTTGAGGGCCAGGATTGTGACTTATTAATTTTTTATTTCTAGAGTCTTCCCTGTTGCCTAGCACGTAGAAGTACTCAATATATGTTTGTAAAGTAGTGACGGTATTGTTGCTAACCTCTGCAAAAGTGACTGCAAAGAACAATTCTAGTTGGCTAGAATCTATACAGAGAATGGCAAACTCCTGGGAATTCCCTGGTGGTCTGGTGGTTAGGACTCGGTGCTTTCACTGCCATGGCCCGGTTTCAATCCCTGTCCAGAGAACTAAGATCTTGCAAGCCACATGGTGCAGCCAAAACAAACAAACAAAAAGGCAAGCTGTTTATCACCTCTGCTCCTTCAGTGAATACAGAGCATTGATTCTCAAGTGTGGACCCTCAGACCAGTACCATCTAACAGGTCCCCAGGCGACCTGTTAGAAATGTAAGTCTCTGGGCCACTCACCTTCTGAGGACCCACACTCTGCCTATGGAATGTGCCCTCTACTTTACTATGCCTCACTTTATTTTTATTTATTTATTTTTTTAATGCCTCACTTTAGTATGGCTTGCTCTTGAATTCTTTCCTGTGCCGATCCAAGGACCCTCACTTGACAGCCTGTCCCCAGGAATTTGACTAAGACCTGGGACATGACCATCCTCTTGCCCCATTTTCCTGCAACCTCTTTACAAAGTATATTAATAAATCTACTTCTTGTGTGTGTGTGCATGCTCAGTCATCTCCAACTCTTGGCAACCCCATGGACTGCAGCCCACCAGGCTCCTATGTCCATGGAATTTTCCAGGCAAGAATACTGGAGTGGGTTGCCATTTTCTTCTCTGGGGGATCATTCCAATCCAGGGATCAAACCTGTAGCTCTTGCGACTCCTGCATTGGTAGGTGGATTCTTTACCACTAGTGCTACCTGAGAACTAAATTGACCTCTTACCTATCAAAAAAATGCAAATCTCTGGACATACTGCAGACCTACAGAATCAGAAACCTTGGGGGCAGAGGCCCAGAAATTGGTATTTTAACAAGCTTTCCAAGTGATTCTGATGCACAGTGATGTTTGAGAACCCAAAGGGGAAAGTTCAATGGTGCCTAAGTCCTTATCCTGGTTTAGCTTAGCAGCTATATACCTAGCCAAGGGAGAATCCATAAATACCTCAAAACTCAGTCTTTAAAGGGTATAAAAAGGGAGCTGAAATGATGATTGAGGACCCTTCTAGCCTAAAATTCTGAGAAAAGGCAGAAAGTAAATAAATGTTCCAATGACCAGATGCATTTATTCAATCAGCAAATATTTATGTACCAGGCAGTGCTCTGAGCATGGAATCAGTGTATGACACAAATTTACTCCTTTTTAATTAAAATTTTAATTTTTAATTAAAATTGTTCAGACCACAACCTTGGAACTATCTTCTGTCTGTAAGATTCTTATACTGCATCTGCCATGCAATGTGAACTGGAAAACCGAGAAATGATCCAGAAGAGTTCTGGCCACCTTCTCCCCTAAATTACTTTGACTTAAATTCTTGAAAGCTTCTGTGTTTGTTTAAGAGCCTTCAGTACCAGTGTGTTAGAAGACAAGAGAGTGATAATAAATGTGAGTATCAAAATAGACTATCTCTGGATCTGTGTTACTTACGTCACAAAGTTCCTTGCTCTTTTAGGAAACTGAATCCATCTAATTCTGTCTCCTCATCGATTCTCTCTTCTAGGCAGTGAGTCACCAGCTGGACTGTTTGAGTAGGTTCCCTGTGTTGACCATCCTCTTTCCTTCTGATCTGGCCTCCCTCCCTCCCTGACTTTCATTCTCCCCACCACACAAACTCAGAGCACTTAGTGGGTTTTTGTAAGGTGTTTTAGACTATTTAGAATATTTAGTCAGTTTAAATATCCTTTTAAAAAAGGACCTTTAAAAAAGAAAAAAGGACCTTTTAAGAAAAACCAAACCAGAAGTCACCACGCTGGGATACCATTGATTCTCTGCCCAGCTCACATTTCACTGCATTTGGAAGGACAGGAGATGGCGCCAGAAAGCCATTTTGGTTTCCAGTGGGGTTTTCACCAAGCTCATAGTGGGCAAAGGGCTAGAGAGGGAGACGTAGGAATTGAAACAAAACCGCCAGAGTTTGAGTAGCAACTAAGGTGGGGGTAGGTGAGGTGGGAAGAGTTTTTTGTTTGTTTTTTTTAACATATAATGGTCGTCTTGACACTACTCCGACTCAGCCATGTGACAAAAGAAATATCCACAGTAAAGTCAAAGATAAAAAATAAAGACAATGCCAATAAAAATTTTTAAAATAAATAAATACAGGCAACCCCCTGGAGTTTGCCGCCTTTCCCCTCTTTCTTACATACCAGGGCCTTTGTCCATTGGGGAAACACAAGGGCCAGGAGGGGCTGCTCACTCCCAAGTGGGAAGGCGCTGATTTGAGGCTGAGACACCTCTGTGAAACGGTATCCACTTGTATAGGCAAAATCCCAAAGCCCACCAGCAGTGAAACACTTCCGAGAAGGAATCGCATGCAAAACATTTTGAACTAGAACTTTAAAAGTTTAAAAAATTCATAGACAACCAGGAGGTGGCGCCTGACAAGACACTTGATCTATCTTGGGAGGCTGCATCGCAGCCCCGACACTCCAGGGAACTTTGTCCTGGCAGAGGTCATTCTGTCCAGGCCTCTTCTTTCCTACCTTGCAAAAGAGGTCTCTGCTTGCTTTCTTTTTTCTGTTCCTCTGTGTTAAAGGTCCTGACTCCCAGGAAGTCTCATTTACACTTTAAGCCTTTTCTTCTTCTTAGATGGGATGAGAGGGGTTTGGGGGGAACCTCAAAACATACAATTTTTCTGGAAGGGAAAAATAATTTGAAGGGTGATGAAAGAATTAAAAAGGATATGGCATCTGCAAAATGGCTTGGCTTTGCAGATCAATCACAGTGGACAGAAAAGCACCCAGGCTCCTGTTTCAGCAGGGACTGATGATGTAGCATATGCATTATTTCTGTTCACTGGGCTTTTATCCGGCCCCCTTATTTAGCTTCTGCTCCCTTTGTTTTGACTAGTTATTGCTATGGGGCAGGAGCAAGGAGGGCAGAGGGAGCTCACATGGGTGCCTCGTCCAGGCTGAGATTCTGGCTGAAAGGCCAGTGCCTGGCCTGAGGTTATCTGTGGGTCTCACCGTCCATAATGAGGGATTTAGAATGTACATTCCAATCAGGATTTCCAGTCCCATGGGGGAACAAGCACCAGCCTGCATTCCTGAGATTCAACGGCCTCTCTGCTCCACTTGCCCAGCTCTCAGCTCTCCGGTGGCAGGTCTCACTCAGTCCCCAAAGTCCTGCCCCAGCCTTCGGTTGGGCGGGTGGGAAGACCCTGGGCCCCCTCCCACTCCAATGTGATCACATGGTCTCTCTCTGCTCCCTCCACTCTCGGAGCCTGGAGTCCACCTTTTTTTTTTTTTTTTTTTGGTGGTAGTGATTGTTTCTAAGGTCTCCCCACCTCTCCTCCTGCCCTGGCCACCGTGCCCAGGGTCTGTGTCCTCTTCGGTGACAAAAGCCGCCCTAGATCTGGGCTCCCTGGGGAGGGAGGTGGCTGGGTCTGGCAGTTGCAGCCGCTGTCTCTTCATGGTGCTGCTGCAGCCCCTCCCCCGCTGGGCACACAAATGGGCTTTATCCAGCAAACAAAACCACCCCCCACCCAGGCCACAAAGGCACGTGGACCCAGCCTCACCGTGGGAAGGGGGTGGTGACAGGCGCAGGAGAAAGAGCGCTCCAAACGAGCTCTCCTCTCCCGCCTCACTTCTCTTCCTCACTCTCCACAACCAAGGTTTCAGTCCTTGACTTCCTACCCTCCAGCTGCACCCTGAGTCCCCCAACTCCCTTTAACTCCGCACTCTTCCTATTCCAGGGCACCTCACATTCTGCAGGGGTTTGGGCACGGGTCCTCCCGCTATCTGCCCCACACCCAGGGAGTGGCCCCTCAGAGGAGAAGCCAAAGTCCCTTGGAGGAGGACTGGATGGGACCCCAAAGGATCGGATCCCCAAACCCTCCGTTCCTGCTCCTGCCCGTTCCCAGGGACACCTTTCTCCACAGTGTCTGTGTGGATAGCAGAGGAAGGAAGAGCTCACCCCGGCTGTGTTCCTGAGCCGGGGCCAGGGCTCCCGTTTTCACAGCCGCGCTCTACTCAGAGCAGGGCCATCCTGCATGCTTAATCGGCTATTTAAGGAGCTGTTCGCCAGCAACCCAGGCAGCCCCCCCTCCCCACGTACACCCGTCCAGAGCCACCTTAAAAGCAGGAGGCAATTGGAAGTAGCTGGCCAGCAAGTGAAGACTGCAAAGAGGTAAAAAGAGAGAGGGCAGAGAGAGAAGCAGCGAGAGATTTATCCTGGGACCAGAAACTCACGGTACCCCCACTGAAAACCAAATCCCCTGGAAGCCCGCAGAGACACAAAGACAGCAAGAGAGAAAGACAAATACATTCAACTACTCCCCCCTCTCTCCCTGCCCTAGTCCTCTAGTCCCCAGACCCCCAGTACCTCAAACTCCTTCCGGGCACACCATGTTGTTCTTCACCCTCCTGCTAGAGGTGATTTGGATCCTGACTGCCAACGGGGGTAGGTACATCTGGGTGTCTATGTGTCTGTCTCTGCTGATGTACACATGTTGCCTTGCATGTTTAATGGAGGAGGAGTGTAAAAGGAAGTCTGGGGGCTAGACTAATAGGCTCAGGCTCAGGGATGGAGGGAAAGAGAGAAGACTCGGGAGGAGACCACTGTCCTTCTTTGCCCTTTGCTTTTCCAGCCTTGTTGTGGGTGGGGATGGGGGCAGACTAGCCCGGGGCAGGATATGTACACACGCCTCCCGCAGAATCGATTTGCAGCTACAAACTCTCTTCCGAGCTCTTTCTCCACTGCCCTAGTCCCAGGCTACCCTCCTGGCCTTCTTTATTTACAAACTCATCCAATTAGGGAGCCAAAGAAGCCTGGAGTGAAAGGATAGAGGACTCACGGAGCGGGTGGTCAGGGGAATATTCCTACAGCTCCTGGCAAACTCAGACCTCAGCCCTGACTACGAACCTCATGGCCTTTCTAGGCGCGTGTGTGCTAAGTCACTTTAGTCGGGTCTGACTCTTTGCGACCCCATGGACTGTAGCCCACCAAGCTCCTCTGTCCATGGGATTCCCCAGGCAAGAGTACTGGAGCAGTCTCCGTTCCATGAGGCGACCGATTTCCTGGTTTTTCCTGAAAGCAGTAGCAATAATAGTCCATATTGTTAGTCCCTTTACAATTTACAAAGGACTTTCAGGAGCTCCCAGGAGAGGAGGAGGGACTCTTGGGGGAATGGCTGAGGTGTTCCAGGAATGTCCCCGGACCCTTACCGCTCATTTCTGTGATCCCTGTGTCTAGTGCAGCATCCAGCACACAGCAGATGTGGAATTAAGATGTGTTGGAAGAACAGGGTTGGGAGGTGTCTAAAGGGCAGAAGGAAAATGCAAAGAAGATGACTGGGCGGAGGGGCACCTAGTCAAGGAGAGCTACGAATTCTACCTGAGGAGAAAGGAAAAAAAAAATCAGGAAAGGGGAGGAAGAGATGCAAGACCAGTGTGTGAGAATTTGGCGGGAGGGAAAGGGCAAGGCTGTTAGCCTGCCCAGAACCAGGGAGTTTGAGTTGTCGAGGTGTCCCACTGAGATGGTGAGTGCAAGGCTGCCTCCAGCCGTCCCCTGGGTTGCTTTTCAGAATTGTGTGAACTGAGGGATGAGCCAGTCGAAGAGCCCAGTGATGAGATCAAGGATATCTTAGCAGTCTAAGGGATTTATTTAAGGGAATAAGAGAGCGGAGGTTGCAGGGGGCAGAGGGTGGAGATTTAGAATTTTTCTCCAAAGTTTCTAGCAATTTGAAAAATGCAGAGACAACCTGCAGGAAGGCCTCCTTTTCCCCTTGAAGCAGTTTGGCCCTGGGTGAGGCCTGGACGAGCAGACCCCAGACCTTCCATCCAGAAGACAGGACTGCATGTGACCTGGCATGTGACCCAGCTGGCAGCTCTCATTTCCACACACAATGCTTTACTTTCATCCTGTCCCCGCCAGCCTGCCTGCCTGTGCCTACCCATCACCCTCCACGTAGAGTAGACCCTGCCTGATTCCCACCTCTCCTTGTCATCTGCGAACCTAGGGAGCAGAGGTTCCTGGTGATGGGGAAAGCTTGCTTTAGAGTTACTGGGACAAGAAGGAGAAACGTAAATGTTCATTTACAGCTCAGTGCCTGGGTTTGTACAAAGCTTCAAAGCAAAGGAATCATCGCCTGCTCCTCTCAGCAACATGGCCCCCAACTCTGAACTTCCTGCCCCTCCCCTTGCTACAGTCCCCTTCCTCCAAACCCTCTGCCTACACCCTCACCTCAGCCCAAGTGTTAGACTGGCTTGGCACAGGCTAGAGAAAAGTGAGGGTTGGGCATTTTGCACACTTGGATCCAGGTTAATTTTAGTCTCCTGGCTTTATCACTTTTCAATTCTCCTCCCCCTTTACTCAGCCAGCACAAGCACAGCCTGGCTGGAGATTTTAAATAGACCCCCGACCTTTCCACTGCGGTGTCCAATTTCAGGGCTTCCTTCGGGAAGTGCTGGAAGGAGGGAGGAGAAAGGGAGGGGGGGGAGTGGAGGAGCTCCTTGCCTCAGGCTGTGCTGGCTGTAACTCAAGTTACTCTGCCTTGCAGGTCAACACTGGACGTATGAGGGTGAGAGCAGAACCCCAGGCCTACGACACCCCTTCCTCACTGGGACCTCTTCACCTGGCGGGAAGACTTAACGCCACGTGGGTGGGGAGGTTTCCTTTAGCTTTTCATCCTAGCTCCTCCCTTCCCCAACTCCCCATGCCCCAGCTTTCGCCCGAGATTGATTCTTAGACCCTGTTCTAAGCATCAAATTCCACACCCCCTGATTCAGCAGAAAAGCCAGTTATGTCCTCAATCAATCTCTGTGGGAGTGAGGGAGCTGGAGTGGAGAGGGAAGCGGGTGGGGGAAGATGCCATGAGCTTAGCTGCCAGTTCTCCTCCTTGCTCTTTCTATCCCAATCACTCCTACCCCCACCTGAATCTGGAACTGGGACAGAACCTGAGGTCAGGGGTGAGGGAGAGGCCAGCAGGACAGTGTGTGACCCTGGCAGAGGTCTTTTCAACTTAACCAAGTCCCTAAGTCAATGCAAGTTCCAGTGTGAAAGCAAGGAGTCAATGATGGGAAGTCAGCAGGTCTGAATCTTAAGGCCACTTGATAGGGGTTCCCCAGAGACCCTACCTCTCTAGAATAATTTCCCCAGTTTTCCTGCTGCTACTCAAATCCACCTCTGGCTCTGTGGACTTTCTACCCGTCTCCTCTTCCTCTCATTAGCTTTCGTATCCTTCAACAAGAGAAGCAGTAAGTAAAGGCAACTGCTCCCCATTCATCAGGAGAGCAGGGGAATCATCACTGCCCCTGCACAGGCGATGGGAAGGAACTGCCGCAGCGAGTCCAGCAGGGACTCCCCCCTCACCCAGCCCCGCATAACTGAGGGCTTCATATGGGGTGGAGGGAAGTGCATGTCTGCCTCCAAGTAGGTAAACAGCTTGGTGGAGGGTTGCTGAAGGGTGGTTGGGGCTGGAGGGTAAGACAAATGCCTGTGATAACCCCACCAGGTCCACATGGTCAGGAACACTGGCCCGCCTCTTTCCCTGAGTGTGGAAGCAACGCCCAGTCCCCCATCAATATCCAGACAGACAGTGTGACTTTTGACCCTGACTTGCTACCTCTGCAGCCCCGTGGATATGAACAGCCTGGCACTGAGCCTTTGAACCTGCACAATAATGGCCACACAGGTAAAAAGACCTGGCCTCCAAGGAGATGTAAGCTTCAATTCCAATCTTAGGAGTCAGAGGTGAAGAAGCATTCTCCTAACTTCTAAAGTCTAAGCAGGTTTTATCTATAAATTTGGAGACAAGAGAATGGGGATGAGGCTCCTGTAGCCAAAGGTGGTTGAGGGGTGGGTGAGCATCACAGTACTGCCTTGATCTTCACTAAAGAGGCAGTGGCTGGGACTTTCAGCCAGTGGTCCAGTGGTTAAGACTCCAGGCTCCCACTGCAAGGGGCACAGGTTAAATCCCTAGTTGGGGGACTAAGATCCCACATGCCAATGCCCCACGGTGCCACCAAAAAAAAAGAAAAGCAGTGTCCTATGGGAAGAACAGAGGATGATATGGTTGAATGGCATCACTGACTCCCTGGACAAGTACTTGAGCAAACTCCAGGAGATAGTGAAGGACAGGGAAGCCTGGAGTGCTGCAGTCCACAGGGTCTCAAAGAGTTGGACACGACTGAGCGACTGAACAACATGGGAAGAACTGGGTGCTGTGCAGAGAGACAGAAAAGGCTGGCCAAGTTTCCCAAGAAGTGATGGCAACTGGGGGGGAGGGTAGGAATGCATCCACATTACTCCACCAACCTTAACTACTTGCTCTCTTTCCCTCACAGTACAACTCTCTCTGCCCTCTACCCTTTATCTGGAAGGACTTCCCCGAAAATATGTAGCTGCCCAGCTCCACCTGCACTGGGGTCAGAAAGGAACCCCCTGGGGGTCGGAGCACCTGGTCAACGGCAAAGCCACAGCTGCAGAGGTACCAGGAGCAAGGCTGGGATTAGGACGTAGTGGTAGGCACTACCAGGGATCTGGAAACTGGAGCAGTCACACTTGGGGTGAAAGGGCAAGCTCTGTGGGGCAGATTTATGCATGCGAGAGGTGGTGGCAGTGGCGGGTGGCGGCGGCGGCTAGGATCAAAGCCTTTGGGACTGGATAGTGGAGAAGCATCAAGTGATTCAATTCCCTGTCCTCTCCCTTAGCTCCACATCGTACATTATGATTCTGAGTCCTACGAAAGCCTGAGTGAGGCTGCTCAGAGGCCTCAGGGCCTGGCTGTCTTGGGCATCCTCATTGAGGTCAGTGGCCCCCAATCCCTCCGAGGCCCCCCTCCACTCCCTCTGCATCCCTCAGTCCTATTCTGTCCATGTCTGCTGCTGGTCATCCTCCCAAGACAAGTCAGCAACACATTTAGACCGTGTATCCTACACACAAATGTCTGACTTCCAACATGGACTCATCCTGAACACTCGCCCCCTTCTTCCCCATCCAGGTGGGTGAGACTAAGAATCCAGCTTATGAACACATTCTGAGTCACTTGCATGAAATCAAGCACAAAGGTGAGCCCTAAAAATCTATCTTAAGACAAAGTCACATTAGACTTCAGGGAAATTTCTCAAAGCCTGAGAGGCCTGGGATGAGGCAGTGAGTTAGGGACCAAGGGGTTTGCTTCTAGCAGCCCTGTCTAGGTAAGCCAGGGAACAGTGAGAGGGAGATGAGCCCGAGTCTGTCCCTGCCCAGATCAGAAGACCTCTGTGCCTCCCTTCAATGTGAGAGGGCTGCTCCCGCCGCTGCTGGCGCAGTACTTCCGTTACAACGGTTCGCTCACCACTCCGCCCTGCTACCAGAGTGTGCTCTGGACGGTCTTCCATCGAAGGGCCCAGATTTCCATGGAACAGGTGAGCAGTGGAGAGGTGAAGCAGCAGAATTGTAACCTCAAACCCTTCCCCACTCCCCAAAGCAAAGGCTGCTCGTCCCTGAACCCCACGCTTCCGCTTCTCAGCTGGAAAAGCTTCGGGAGACGTTGTTCTCCACGGAGGAGGAGCCCTCTGAGCCCCTGGCACAGAACTACCGAGCCCCCCAGCCTCTCAACCAGCGGATGGTCTTTGCTTCTTTCATCCAAGGTGACTGTACAGGGCTTGGAAAAGGGGACGGGAAACTGGGGGACTCAATGGCAGGAACTAGGATGCCTCTAGGAAGGAAAAGAAGGCTAATGGGGAAGGGATTCCCAGGCCTTGCTTGGACTGGGACCCACCATGCCTCTAAGGCTGGCGCAGGGCAGCTTCTAGCTGGGTGGGGATCTGGTCTCGCTGACCCAGGTTTTCTTCCCTTGCAGTGGGACCCTCGTATACCACAGGTAAGACGGTCTTTCCCAGGTATCGAGGTGTGGGGTACAGGGTATGGTGCTCCTCAGCAAGTTAGGGAAAGGCTCACCATCTATGTCAGTCCTAGGCAGACACCCTCCATCTCTCTCCCAGGTGAAATGCTGAGTTTGGGAGTAGGAATCCTGGTTGGCTGTCTCTGCCTTCTGCTGGCTGTTTATTTCATCGCTAGAAAGATCCGGTGAGGTCCTACTCTCCATCCTTCCAGTCCTTTTTGTCCCGAAAAGCATGCTCCTAGTCCACCTCTAATCTGTTTCACATCGGACACTAGGCATTTCCACGAACCATTCTCCCTTCCAGGAGGAAGAGACTAAGAAACCGGAAAAGTGTGGTCTTCACCTCAGCACGAGCCACCGAGGCATAGACTCCTGGACACTTCAGATGCCTTCCACTTGCTCGGCTGTCAGGGTGCTTGTCAAGTGAGGTGCTGGGATTGGCCAGGAAATACTGTAGGAGTAGGCCAACCCCTTTTTCCTCCAGACAGTCCCTACACAGAAGTATGGACAGGCTCTCATTCAAGGATGACCAACAGAACCTTCCGCCTCTTAGAACATGGAGATCAGGACAGCCCTATGGTGACAATGCAGAGGGTCAACTGTGTATAGTTGTCGGGGGATGTGGCCCACAGTCCCCCGTCCCTTTATCTTTATAACCGTGTCCCTAGATATAGCTGTAAGATCTCCCCTTAGGAAAAAGGGTTGCTGCTGTTTATTTTGGGTTGTTTGTGTTTTTTTTTGCTCAATATATTTGGAAATTAAAGCTGCTGACCCCACATCTGGCTTTACTTCTGGAGCTCTTGAGAATGGGAGTGTTTCTTAATGCCTCAGATGGCAGAGGTGGGCAAACAGAAGCATGGGTGAGTAACTCCTTTTACTCCAATCCTGGAGGAGGGGAGATCCACTTCTGGAAGATGCTTAACCCAGAGTTTCTGACATGAGTTCAGACTCCCTGCCCTTGCATCGAAGCTATCCTTGGAGGGAACCAGAAAATTGCCAGGTTAGAAAGGCAGTTGGAAAAGAGCCATGAGAGGGCAGAAACCTCATGAACACCTTATCCCCTCCTTTTAAAGCCAAGTTCCCCCACAATTATAAAGTCCTTTTTATTAGTCAAAATCACAAACACCTCGATTAAAAGGATGGGATACACCACCCTCAGCAGAAAATGATACAGTTTATAGAAAACCTCCCCGCCCCCCACACACCCCAATTAAAAACTAGAAAAAAATCTGCCCTCCTTCCCTGTGATGTCATGGTAGGCTGACTCCTCCAGGAGCACTGCAACTCTGGAGAGGGCCAGCTCCCCACAGCACCCTCCACTTCACCTTGGGGAGAGGAGGGATGCTGGTGGTCAAGGAGGTTAAAACATTAGTTCCAGTAATACCAGTTCCCAAACATGCACTTCCTTCCTTTCCCCCAAAGCCTGGGACCAAGGGGAAAGCTGGACAGGTATAAGCCCAGTCATAAGGAGCAAGTTGAGGAGGGAAAATACAGTCCAAGGAGGTTAGGAGAAGAATTCCAACATACCTCCTCCCTCCCCCCAACTCAAAAAAAAAAAAAAAAAGGCAATTTGGGGTCTTTATCACACCAAAAATAGTTCCCCTCAGACCTGAGAAAAAGACCAAGATGTCCAGTCTGGGGAGGGGGTACTGGGAAACTCAGAGCTCGTCTACCCTTGAACCTCCATTGACTTCATCTCCACGACAATGGCTAAACTAGGTCCCTTTTCTTGGCCACCTGCACTGTCCAGAACTGGAGATGGAGAAATACAGGGCGAGGAGATCAGGAGGGCACCCCAGGCCCAGGGGTCCCCCCCAAGGTTCCCTCAGTCCTCGGGTGGGATGCGCAGGGCAGAATACACCATCACCCGACTGTCCTCCTGCCGTCGGCCTGCAGAGGGGAAGGGGGATGAGTCTTGGGCAGGGTGAGGGCAGAGCACTGACACATGGGGCGTCCTGGACAACAAGGGGAAGGGGGGTCCCCAGATGGTGGGGACAAGTGCAGACTCAAACCCACCAGTCACTGACTGGCTGCACCCAGACTGCTCCTGGTAAAGCCTAGAGACTAAAGGTCACACACGAGAGGACAAAGCAAGACCCTGAAGGTGGTGGAACAGACCGACGAGGAGACAGAGAATGCTGGGCAATGGACCCGGGCTGGGGCTGGGCTCAGTCATGGGCAGTGGGCAGGCAGGTGGGATCTGTCAGGCGATCGGTCCAGGTAGTCAGTCCTTACACGAGAGACTGCGCTGGATACTTCGGAAGGACCCTCCAGCTGTGATGAAGGCCCAGAGCCCCATGGAAACAGTGACTGCATAGATGGGCAGCAGGCTGGCCTCATACCAGGGGTTCAGGAATGTCTGGTGATGGGGGAAGAGTAGAAAAGAAGTTAGATTCTCCCTCTAATCCCTATATTCCCATTGTGCCTTTGACCCAAACTTCCCCAGAAATCTCCCTCAAATCCCTCAGTCCTTCAGAGCACCAGTAAGTATCTTGTGATTTTCAGCTCCCCCAAAGGTTTCTGCTATTCCTGCTCACCTCAGGCCATCTGCATTATGGTTTGATTAATCCATTCAAACTCCTCCCCAGGGAATCCCCAGAGCAGGATATACAATTGATGCTGAGATGAGAGACGTCTCAAGACTCACCTTTCTGCCTCCTCTCATGACAGATTTTTAAACATTAAGAAGTGAGGATGTATTTCCCCTCCATCCCACTCACCATTAAGTTCTTTTCTCTCTAACTCAGGCCCCTGTCCCCAACTCACCAGTCCCGATGTCAGTAGGTGACTCCCAACCACCAGGCCCAAAGCCCAGTACCGTCTCCTCTCACAGGCATCAAAGAACACAACTCCCCAAAAGGTATGGAGCAGGATAATGGCTGCTGTCAGAAAGGCTGCAGGGGGGGAGATGGGGATGAGATACATCCCTCGTCTTCTCCCAGCCTCCTGAGATGCTGAGCCAAAGAAGTCTCCCAGGGAGGGCCAGTAAATCAGGTCAGGGCTTAGGGACGGACGGGGCAGGAAGGCAAGAAAGAAAGTGGACTTTACCTGAAGTCAAGAAGTAATAGGGTGAGTCTCCATGGATCCCAACCACACCTGGCCCAAGTGCATCAGCCAAAATATTGATAACAGAGAAGACACCACTGATGATACCGAAGGAAAGACCAGAAACTGGGGGGAGGGAGGGTCTCATCAATGTCAGAGATCACTATAGCCTGACTGCCAGTGATCCCTCCCCATTCCCAGGCACAATTCCCCCCCACCTTCTCTCCCTCCAGGCAACCTATCCTTGGAAGTCAGGTGTGAAGAAAAACAAGAAGCCACTTAGGACAAGTGGATGTTTAGAGGCTTCCCTGGGAGAGACAAGTGTCCAACTCCCTCCTCCAGTCCCTCTCCCTTGGCTCACCATAGGCCATCTGGCGGATGGAGATGGGTGATCTTCCGTCCTCACTCAGCGATGCTAACCCTTCATCTGCCTTCCTGGGGTGTGGTGGGGTGGGTGGGACAGGGGAAACATGAGGGAGGGCAGGAATCTCCTTTCCCTCTAATGTCTTCCCTTAGTGCTTCCTCGTCCAAACCACCACCCAGGGCTGCCCCATTTATAGTTCAGTCCTCTGCCCTTCTCCCCTCCAGACCATCCCATCTTCTTACTTAAGCAGCTTGTAGTAGGCAAAGCGGAACACCTCCTGTAGAAGGACGGAGACTGCAGCACCAAATATCAGAAGGCCATACTGGAGCCGGGCATCTGACCGATCAGTCACATGGACCAAGATGAACCAGACCACAGAGGCCAGGAGCAGGGAGACCAGCCAGAAAAATGCCCTGAGGAAAGACAAGGGCAATCAGACAAGCCAGAGTAGAAGACATCCTGAGAAGTCAAAGAGAGAAACCAATCAAGGCTGCAGCATAAAAAGCGGAAGTTAGACTTCTGGATGGCCAGGGAGACGGGGAGGAGGTAGGATAAGTGTTTCCACCAAGGGAGTTTGTAGGGATCTGAATGCAGGGGAAGGCTTAGAAATCTGATTAAAGGGTCTGCAGAGCTATGAAAGCCAGAGTATAAGGAGCACAAGAGGGCGATGTATCCATTCCTGGATACTTCCGTAGGGACGAGTGAGGTCAGCACAGCCCCTTCACTAGTCTTGGCCCTGGGCCTCCTCTGACGTCGCCGGGAGGAGTACAGGAGGAATCTGTGCGATCCTTGCAAGGCGGAAACCAACTGCGGGAAAGGGCAAATCACTCAGATCCCTGACTCGACCCTTCCCAATCTTCGCCTCCAACTTGTCTCCCCCTACTCAGGCTTCCCTTGGAGCGTCCCAGGTGGCTCAGTGGTAAAGAACCCGCCTGCTAATGCAGCAGACTCAGGAGACGCGGTTTCCATCCCTGGGTAGGGACGATTTCCTGAAGTAGTATCTTCAGTACGGCAACCCACTCCAGTATTCTCGCCTGGAAAATCTCATGGACAGAAGAGCCTAGCGGGCTACAGTCCATAGGGTCGCAGAAGAATCGGACACCACTGAGCAGGGGCAAGACTCAGGCTCGCCCCAGGTCCTCAAGCTCCTTTCGGATCTCACTCTTCGGCGTCCTTCCGCGTCTCCCCAACCCCCTAACTCACCCGGCGACCAAGATAATGACGCGAAGCGGGTCTCCAGCCACAGTGATCAAGAAAAGCGCAAAGGCCGGGCCAAAAGCGACGAAAGTGCATCCAAAAAACACTGCGGCCCCCATGGCTGGGCAGCTGGGGGCGGGGTGGAGACCCGGCCAAGAGAGGGGAAGGGGAGGAGCACGCCAGCTAGGGTGTCCGCGTGGGGTGGCGACGCGACCCCGTGAGGGGCGCGGTGCAATGTCACCCCCGGACCCCCGGGAAAGGCGGGGATACCGAAACCCCAGACACAAGTCCGCGCGACTTCCTCTACGGAAGCCGAGGAGGGAACAAACCCCTTTGCAGCCTCATGGCCACCTCCCATCTAATCCCCACCCCCTGGAGGCCAATGGAGGGAGACTCCGTGGGGGCGGAGCTGCGGAGTGGGGCGTGGTTTTCACGACCTGCTGGGAGTTGTAGTCCAGCTTTCCTTGCCCTGGACCTCGGACTTGGGAGTGGCTCGGGCCGGTTAAAGCAGTGGGCTGGGCCCGGGCCCAGGTTCCTTGATTCGGTTCGGTTCGGCCCTGGTCGCTGTTTCCTTTCGTTATTTTATGGGGCAGGGTGGTAGCAATCCTACGTTTTCTTGAAGAGCTGCAGAGGGGGAAGATCCTGTTAGAAACTAAAGAACAAATACAAAGAAATCACAGGATAGAGAGTGCCGGAAGATAGGGACGGGTATTGTTCTTACTTGAATGAGAGGAAATGAGCTGGAGATACTGCCTAAGAAATGAAGGTTACACTTAAAAGTAGGTGCTCTTTGAACAGGCTAGTGTAGGAAACACACAATACAGTGTCGCTAATGAAGCTTTCATCTATAATGACAAGCGAATAAGAAGTAAAAGGAGCCTGGATAGCAATGTTAGGTAGGCTGGAGAGGATTTTGAGTTGGAATTGGAAGTTAAAGCTCTTTGTAAAAAGCAATTATAGCTATGGAGTTGAAGGAAAACTATCCCCCTCCCCCCTCACCACCGAAGTTACTCAGTTCCTTTTATGTCATACTTCCTTTATTTATTTTCTGAAAATGAACATCAGTGGTGTCTTTTCTTCAGACTGGGGGAAGGGAAGGCACAAGGGATGCATTTTAGAAAGAAAGTTAAAGTGTTAGAGGACACTGTAACTTCATTTGGATGGGGGTAAGA